TGATGATGATGATGATGATGGATGAGGATGATGTTGGTGATGATGATGGATGGTGATGATGGTGGTGATAATGATGATAATGATGATGATAATGGGAATTCTTCATGAACTCTTTACGAGTCATTTCCACTAAACCTCAAAACATTCTTTAACTCGTCTTTCGTAGGGCATCTTAAATGAGCTGAACACAAGAACACTGGAACAGTTGACAAACACTAAAAATATTGGTAAAAACAAAGCAGAGGCATTAGTCAATTACAGAGATGAACAGGGACCTTTGACGAGTCTGTTACAACTCAAAGATGTCAAGGGATTTGGAAAAGGGTTCTTTAGCTGGCTTGAGGAAAACGGGGAATTGCCAGCTACGACAAAAAAGTTTTCTAGACAGCATGACGTGCTGAATACTCTTGTTAATGAGGACCAGAAAAACGTGAGTTTCCATTATCTATTTGTCCTACTTTTGAAGCTTTGTGCAAATTGGTTTTCCATCCCTTTTTTGTGAAAGATTGCTTTCAAATTCATCATTGCTGCTAGGAATAAGTGAAGATTTTCAGTGTGATAATGCAGCAGAGCTATCGACTCTTCATTTTTTTTCAAGGCCAAGAAAATGTCATCCATAATACGAATAAGTGAAGAAGCCATAAAAGATGTACCAAAACATTTTATCCAGTTTTTCAATTTTTTCTCTTAATTTTATTTTCGCCTTTCAGTTTTATCTGAATTGGGATCCCTGTGGCTATATTGCTTACATATAATAATTATGTAGGTGGTGGACTCCTCTAGGTGGTGTCACTGATAATACACAGGGTCGTAGCTACAAATTTCTGTTTGGTCCGGTTTTCGAGGTCCTTTGGTTTTTCTTACATTTTAAAAATAATTTTCTTATAATTTTTCACCGAAAGTTGGTCCTGTTGAAACCGGACCAACCGTACAGGTGGCTACAGCCCTGATACAATACAATACAATACAATACAATCATAGTAGTTTATTCAGGAAGCAAACAATCAGTAACATACTATAAAATAGTAAAGCAAAAACTAACACGCAGCAAAAAATAAGAATATTAGATAAGCACCCCGAAAGGAAGTTTAGAGGTTAGCCCTGTGTAAAAAAACTCCTTATTAATTATAGTAAAGATGATGCTTCTATCTCCACAGAATATCCAGGATATCGTATCAATAGACATTGGGTTACAGAATGCCGCATGGATCCATATGGACAGGAAGTGTAATGTACTTGCCTGGCGGCAGGCATACATCTCTAAACCAAAACCGTATAACCCTGCACTATTGAAGCCACAGGTATGAAATATTGAGAAAGCATAGTGCTTTTTCTACAGTATATTCAGGGATGTAGGAGCCTGGGGGCTAAGGGGGGCAATACAGATCCCAACCCACCCTCCCAACTTTTTGGGAATTGATTTTTTGGTGCTGAAATCTAGCTTTTTTGGGGGAGGGGGGGTGGGGGGCATTTCCCCCGACCTCCAGAGAATGCTTATGCCAAGGGTGTTTTCTTTGGTTCCTCCCTTAAAAATTCTAATTCTTGCTTCCTTCATTTTAATCCACCAACCTTTGATATTCAATCAAAAAATTTGTATCTTTACAGATCCAGACATTTGTTGACTCTCTTCCCAAAACAGATGCATATATTGTAGAAATGCAAAGCCACAGAGTTGGTAAACATGCTGTTGCTCTCCTTCCATTTGTCCTCCACCTTCGCATCATGGAAGCAATGATTCACTGCCTACTGCCGCCTCCAGTAATCCCCCTCGATCCCCACTACACGTCCAAATACTTTGGCCTTCCTACTGGGCATGCTCAAAAAAAGAAGGCTGCTGTCAGCTTAGTACAGAGTTTATTTCTCGAACGACAAGAACTTGCTATTGAAGAAGAGTGTGAAAGCTTTTTAAAGGAAAAATCTGGTTTGCAAGGGAGTGAAATGATTGTAGAAGGATTAGTTAGGAACCCTATGTCATCTGATGCAAAGGACAGACAGACAAGCGAAGATGGGGAACTAGTTGTTCCAAATTCAACATGCCCGAATTTCAAACTTCAAATTTCAGCAGAATTGATTGAGTATTTTCAGTCTTGTAAGAAGAAGGATGACTTGAGTGATTCCCTTTTACAGGCATTGGCATTTTTTAATTTATTGTCAGAGAGTGAAAACTAAGCATGATTTTTAGCCTCCTGGCAGATTAGACAGATCTCTCTATTCTAACTGTTCTTTCTCCTGGTTTGTTCTATTGTGGGCTTCCTGTGGTATGTCATCCTCTCTCCCCAATCTATCCTCCCTCCTTTATCACACAGGGTTCTGATGTACCAAAAAGGAAAAGAATGGCCTCTTCTCTGATGTAATATCTAATGATAATCCACTGCTGATGTCACAGGGCGATACTAAGTTGGTGTACATTTTTTTTAAAGAGGCACTTGGATGAAAATCAATGAAAATCGGAAATGACTTGAAACTTGTTTAAACTTATCTATATGGCCCAGATAGTAGCCAAGCAACATATTTCCTTCACAGTAAAAAATGGTGGATAAAAATTATCAATTTTATTCAGCATCTAAATTGTGAGTAAATGACGTCATTCACTCAACCCTATTGTTCTTTTAGCTTTAAACCCAAAATATCGCAACAGCGAGTGGYTCCCAGGCTAAAATTTTCACTAATCTGATTTTCATAATTATAATTGAGTCATATTACCCTTGAATACTTCAATTATTCGGACTTTCAAAAATTGGGGCGATTTCATCCAAGTGCTCCTTTAAAACCGATACCAAATTAAATTTACACCAACCATAATTTTGTATGTTAAGTTCAATGGACCTCCTAATCAGTAGGCTATCTTGAAAATATACTGTAAAATTTTTCAATATAAGCTGGCGGCCGCAGGAGCTCTGGTGATCGTTTTGAAGTTAATACCAGCTAATTTGTCTTTTCTATAAAATACCTTCAGTCTGTTCGATCCCTTAATTTGAATTTTTAAATTTAAAATTTTCAATTGCTTTAATTTAATCAAGCTTCTTGCAGTTCCAACTTCAATAGACCCCTTTCGAATTCCAAATTACCGCTGTGTTTCTTGATTACAGACTCATTTGCACAGGGTTAACCTCGAGTTTGTGCAGAATATTCACGTGTTCCAGTCAAGGTCCGTCGAGTTTCAAAATGTTTGTATTGTTGAAGTTGTTCATTCTTTACTTTCCTGTTGGTATTTGTGAATATTTAAACACTGATACGAGGCTAACCCTGTGCAAATGAGTCTGTAATCAAGGAACACAGCGGTAATTTGGAACTCGAAACTGGTCTATTTCTGAATAGAGCTTGAGCCTTTCCTTTGATTTAACTGGTTTTCTCCAGGTTCTCTAAATTTCCACCCCACTTCAAAATCTAACACCTAATAATATTATTTCAATATACCTTATTACTGATACAATGGCTATCTAGTCAGAACTCTGTTGTTCCAGAGATTATGGTATAACGAGGGAGCAAATAGAAACTTTTTGCACTGGTTTTGCATTAAAAGATAGTTGAAGGGAGCAAACAGTAAAATTTTTGCACCGGTTTTGCATAAAGATAGAGTTCAATTCCACTTAGGATAGAAAATGTATCGCTTCAGTACACCAACACGGATGCTGTGACATCACGTGAAAACGCTCTATAGAAAATAGTAATTTTACTTCATGAGAAATAAAATGTGTTGAATTCCCAATAATAAAAACCAAAATGTTAATAAATAAAATTTATTGGCAATAAATTTACTAAAAAGTTGTATTCATTAATAACATTAATTAATTCATTAATTATAAATTTATTTTTTTTTGAAATATTTAAATTTGTCCAGCTCAAGAAAAATTAAATTAGAAATACAAAATAAATTGCTTGTTTATATAATTATTTTTTTAAAAAAATGTATAAAACAACCTTTATTCATCCACTAATTATTTAATTATTTAATTTAAATTTGCAAGGAATAGACCTTCTCGGCTCTGACATAATGTTTTCCCATTTCAGACCACGTGTTATTCCCTAGAGTATCATTTCTTTGTTTAAGGTTTGCACTCGGTTGCACATGAGAAGACACATGAATATGGATACAACTCAAACAAAGAAGATTATTCTCAAGGGAATGACACATGAGGTCTGAAATGAGACAACATTACGCCGAGCAGAGGAGGAGTCTATTAATCAGCCACTAATTCACTTAGTTATTCATGTATTTATTATCTTATTTCTTTTCTCATTCACTTAATTGGTTTGTCAGGAATACTAATTAGACCTTTTTACGTTATTATGTTTCCTCATTTCAGACATGTCATATTCCTCGGTGCTGTTGTTGCCTACGCATTGATATTAGAGACCTTTAGATCCGACGACGAGTAAGAGAACGAGTACGAGTGTTTAACTTTTAAAGAGAAGCACTATCTTTTTGTAAAGATGAGAGTATGTGGACCACGTGGCACTAATGAAATAGTAGAAGATAATATAGGTAAGTTGTAGTGCTTGGGGACAAGGTTATTCCAGGCGAAAGCCCTTGGAATTAAATTCGGAAAAATTAATTTCCGACCTCGCTGGGATTCGAACCCACGACCTTCAAGCACTACAACTTACCTATATTATCTTCTACTATCTTTTTGTAGTCGTGATCGTGTACGTAGATTGAAACTTTAGATTGCAAAAAATCGGAAATCAACTACAATTTAGTGTCAACCACGAGCAACTCGTACTCGATCTTGTACTCGTCGTCGTATGTAAAGGTTAATGACTGAGATTTCTGGTTGATTGATAGTAGCTAATAGCCACTAAAAGAAATTTGATTACAATTTTGTCTGCACCATCTCTATAGTAAGCGATTTGGTCAGTCGGTGTTCCATTTATGATAGCGGCTGATTAGGAGACTAACCAGGGCTAGGGAATTTACAGTAAACTTAAAAATATATATATTTGTAGCTCTGGCCCTTTCACTCATAACAAAACTTGGGACTCTTCTATTCAGTCGACAAGGAGACGGCAGCTTTTGTCAAAATAAAAAGTGTTTTACTCTCCAAAAAAGTAAAAATTTTACTAATAACCCTCCCCTCCCTCAATAAAAAAAAAATTCTTTCCCTTATTAGAGTACAAACACTATAATAAGTGTGTAACATAAATACCACTAAATACTGCTAAATTATGCTAATCCTATTGTTTTCTATTGTTTAATTAGCACTATTTACTACTAAATAGTGCAGTGTTGCACACTTTTAGTGTTTGTATTCTAAATCATGATGTGCACTCAAAATCAAAATACATTCTCGACTACCTTCTGTATAAACATCCATGCTCCCTATGCACAGTTTGTCCTACAGTTAAAAAAGGCACCAAGCTCACTATCGCATCCTCTTTTAAAACCTTGTTCATAACTATGCGATGGTGCTAGTTTCAAATCACACTGCAAATTTGGCATTTGGCTGTCAATCATTAATCATTCGGTAGTCATGCCTCTTAGACCATCAATGGACTAGGGACATGTTCCATGAGAAAAACTGTTAAAGCTCATTTAGATAATCACTAGTGCAATTATTGTAACAATAGTTAAGAATTAATATATTTATATTTATTAAAAATAAATAATAAAAAAMTGATGGAATGATTGACCGTTCCCTGCTAGCAGAGTCTCCCTAACCAGCGATTCTTGGCAGATAATATTTTCTCCAGCTGGCGGTATTTTCTCCCTCGCTGGCAATTTTCTGCTAGCAGGGAAGACTGAGCACAGTGCAATTCCAAATTTGCAATGTGATTTGAACTAAGACCTTTATAATAACTATTATGAACATGGTGATGACACCCGTCATCAATTATTGATCTTCTAATCTTTGCCCTCGTGCAAAGTTCAAAAACACTTGCTCAAGCGACGTCTGACTGATTGTATAATCCTCAATATCATAATCCAGTTTAATCCTCTCAATTTCCCCAAATATTTTCGCCCAGGATATACTCATGTCGGTTATGTGATAATGTACCATTCCAAGGTGCTCGTCCTTTAGAATGCTTCTAGGAAATACCTCCTCGATGTACTCCTTGAGTCTTGGTAGTTGATCTGGGTTAGCTATCTTTAATATAAGGGTGTAGCCTTCACCAAATTTTGTTTTGAGGTGTTGTGGACTTCCTAGACACTTGAAACGACCGTTGACCATGATGGCAAGACGGGTGCAGAGAGCATCACATTCTTCCATGCTAGGATTAAATTAAATTAAATTAAATTAAATTAAATTAAATTAGATTAAATTATTTTTGTGGTTGTTGTTGCTTTTGTTTTTAACAATGCTGTTGCTGTTGTTATTGATGTTGCTGCTCCGTTGTTGCCCGGGGGGTACTCTTGCCAGTTTAGGGTAGAGATGTGCCGCTGAGCCCACTGGACTCTGACCCTGTTCCAGAGTAAAAATCGCTGAAATTCATACCCTGTTCCAGTATTGCAAAAATAGATACCCTGTTCTAGAGAGGAGAGAGCGTGATTTCATACACCCTGTCCCAGAGTGAGCATGATTTTAAATACCCTGTTCCAGAGTAGAATCGCCGAAAACCATGCCCTGTTTGGCGGCACGTGTCCGTATAGCGAATATAGGGGATTACCCCCCCCCCCCCCGGGTGTTGTTGCTGCTACTTTTGCTGTTGCTATCGTTCCTACTACTGTTGTTGTCGTTTTTGCTGTTGTTTTTATTGCCAATTCCTATTAGTTACCGTTGCTATGTCCAACAAGCTCAACAAATTATCCAGAATATCTCAGAATTTAAAACTCTGATCGCGGAAAATTGATTATAAATTGTTTCAATTGTTTACTGTCCTGTGAAAAGAATAGAAAATTGCCTCGCAACCTTTGAGGTACACTAAAATACAGATACTGTGCAGCTGTTTGTGGGACAAGATTTTAATTTCACTGGGAAAACTACTGTATTGGTGATTGGTTCTCTAGTATCTGAGTCGGAACCATAAATTGTCGTACATGCGTTGCTATCCCACATGGACTGCCAATTTCTCAATTTCTCAAGGCAGTGTTTGACTTACGAGTTAGAAATGCGATTTTTCGTATTTTAGCCAGATAATATTAAACCACAAAAATTCCGTTTCGGCTCAGATCGCTATGGTTCTTAAATCTCGGACCGACCGTTTTTAAAATAGGTGTTCACTCTATAAGGGTTTATGGTTCAGTCATTTTATCTACTTTTGTTATATAGTTAGGATAGTACGAGCGCGCTGATTGGTCGAAAACTGTGCTTCATTAGTGAACGGAGCACAGTGCTGACACCTGCGACCGTCTTCATTCTTGCGTAAATAAACTCAATACCGCCAAAAAATTAGTAGCTATATAATAAAACGAATACAACAGCTTTTTCTGTGCTCCGTTCAGTAATAAAGCACTTAGTAAGAGCCTTTAGCACTCAAGAAGTGCGAGAAGCACTCGCCTACGGCCCGTGCTTCTCCTTACACTTCTTTCGTGTTTACGCCACTTCCTGCGCGCTTTATTACTGAACAGAAAAGGGAAAAAAGCTGTTTTATTTTTTAAGTACTAGCTTAACATGTACCTGTGTGAGGTGATAATAATGCAGCGTCCATCGGCCCGTACTCGGCACAGCGCGTTCCACAGGAGTCGTTTAGCTACAGGATCCATACCAGTGGTGGGTTCGTCTAAGAATACCACAGGTGGGTTACCAACTAGAGAGATAGCTGTACTGAGCTTACGCTTGTTTCCACCGCTGTAAAAACAACATTGCTACGAGATTACTGATCATTTTAAGGGATTATGGCAGACATAAATTTGTTGATTGGTCTTCCTGTGGTATTGACGTGTGCTGACGAATACGGTTATCCGCGAAAATCAAGTAAATATAAAAGATGGCGGCGTACATAAAATTGACGTCATTCATTTGTGTCATCCGCAATATTTGTTTACTCCTGTCTCATTTCATCCGAGATTTTGTCATGTCCAATATTTGAAATATATGGCACATGCGTGCTGTATGGAAAATAGTCCAGACACTGTACTCTCTCCTTTGCCGATCTGCTTTTGTTTTTGGGCTTCCTGTGTCGCAAAAGAAAAGCGGAGCGGCAAAGGAGAGGGTATAGCGTTTGGACTATATGGAAAATGACGCACAACAAAAGCAGATGCTCTTTGATAAAAGAACGCAATCAAAGACCTGGGGGAGCTACTGGGGGTTTACAAGCAGCAGGTCAGAAGGATGATGATGAATACTAGAGACTTGAAGCGTTGATTGGAATACATGTAGCAGTTTCCAATGCCAGTAGGGAAACGATGATGGGCTTATACAGATCATTTTATAGGTCGGAATAGAAACGTATGAATGAGCAGCCTACCCAGTTAAGCTTGAACCTTTTGTGCTAATAGCTAACTTAGGTTCAGGTCAAACGCCGAACTTCACATGAGCCGAACCTAATGACATCAAAGAAAACCGCCTTGTTATCCATTGTTTCGATTAGGTTCGGCTCATGTACAGGTCGACGTTTGACATGAGTCTAAAACACCCAATCAGTTGGTCGGCCGGTCGGTTCGCTGGTCGGTTTTTACTTACCTAAGAGACTTCGTAAGCTTATCAGCATGATTACTCAACAAGAGTGAACGCATTAAATTTTCTACAGTGTGCGGGATATCGATCTCTGGCACGCCACGTAGACGTGCGTACATGTAGAGCATTTCACGAGTGGTCATGTGACCTATCAGGGCATCGAACTGAGGGCAAAAAAAAACACGCTGGCGAACCTATTAAAAAAAAAAAAAAAAAAAAAAAAAAAACAGGACAGAAAAAAAAGATTAGAAACTTATTAGGAAGTCGAAACGATTATGTACATATGCAAATTAGGAGTTTTGATACCATAACAAAAAACAGGAAAAAAAGATCAGAAACTTATTAGGAAGTTGAAACGAATTTTTACCATAACTGGGAAATTTCTCGCGCGCTGATTGGCTTAGAACCATTGTTGATTAGAGGCTAGGCCTGCTTGTGCTTACGATATCCGTCACACGCACTGAGTGAGCGGATGAAACGGCTTTTTCCGATCTCGTACCCAGAACCTACGTTTCTTCTGGCCTGCGGCGAAGAACGAGGGCTCTGGCATAATCCATTTTTGAGACCAGGATTTCTTGGACTTCCGGTATAAAGAATGCATACGTTAAAAGACTTGCCAAAAAATAAAAAAAATATGTTCCCGATTTCTAATTCTTATTTTGATCGGAAGTAAACACAGAGCTCTGTTTGAAAGCATCATTGATGATGTTTCACTTCCGGAAAACTGCGCATGCGCCAAAAATGGATTATGCCAGAGCCCTCGTTCTTTGCCGCAGATGCAACTATTTACTTGTCTTTTTGTTCAATTTTTTTCGACTGCGCTGCGCTCGTGGTTCCAGTTGAGTTTAGATCATTTTTGACGTCATTTCATGTTCGATTACAGTACAAAATATGACAAAAAGGTTAAAAAGCAAGCTTTAAATTTTACATGGGAAAGCTGCCTATTTGGAATTATACGTCTGGTTTCAAGAAGATCCAAGCGCTTCTCCAACATATCGAACTTCTCGCTGAATTTCCTGACTTTCAGAGAAGATTTGCTGAATCTTTCAACCAATATATCTGTCTTTAATATACTTTTTGGGAATTTTTAAAGCAAGAGGACGTGATTAACTTGGAAAAAAATCGTGAAAAAAAAAAAAAGGAAAATAAATAAATAAATAAATAAATTCGAGTGTCGTACACAATCGAAAATGCAGTAATGGCTACCTGTTCCATGTTGCTTCGTATATCGAAATGATCCACCACAGCCGTCCCAGACGTCATCATTTCATCACCGGTAAGCATCCTGAAGGTAGTCGTTTTACCAGCGCCATTGACACCCAGCAAGCCAAAACACTCCCCGAGGGGTACCCCCAGGGATAGGTCGTTGACGGCGATCAGAGGACCACGCCCTAAAATAAGAAAACAACTAAACGTTAAACTTTCTTTCGTAAAAACAAATTCTTATGGGAAGCCATGTCGTACTGTGTACGGGCTGTCAATCAGTACCGTATATTTCCCACTCATGGATAACCATTCTTATGGGAAACCATTTCAATGTTACGGCATGTCTTACTGTGTACGGGCTGTAAGTCAGTACCGTGTGTTTCCCACTCATGGATAACTATTCTTATGGGAAGCCAATTATACATTACATTTCAATGTACGTCAAACATTAAATCACGAATAGAATTGAGATGAAACTAACCTCTCCTTCCCGGGTAGACTTTGGATAGCTCTCTTATAACAAGAACATCTTGATTGTCCGAACCAACAGCAACTCTTCTCTTCTCAGCAAAAACATCGTCATCGTCTTCAACCACACTACTAGAGTAAATGTCTCCTGGACGCATCACCTTTAAAGACATAGAGAATGAAGAGCGCAAAGATAGATAGAACCGACGCGGGAGACCCGATTCGAAGAGGAGTACCAAAAGGAAGAAGAATATTCCTTCCCACGCCATGAACACGAGGTATCGACCAATCCCTGGATTCTCCCATGACAGATAGTTTTCTTGAAACTCTATGGGATAATCACCTAAACGACAAAAGACAGAAAAAGAAATTCTATTCAGACTAGCTTCGTAAACATTTCATAAATACTCTCGCGGCAAGTCTATTGTATTGTACACGTTCTGTAAGTCATTACCATACGTTTTATAATCATACGATAACCATGGTTATGGGAAGTCATTTTAGTGTTACGGCATATCGTATCGTGTACGTGCTGTAAGTCAGTACCGTATGTTTCCCACTCGAACGATAACCATTCTTATGGGAAGCCAATTCAGCGTTACGGCATGTCGTACCGTGTACGTGCTGTAAGTCAGTACCATATGTTTCCCACTCGTCTGATAACCATTCTTATGGGAAGCCATTCCAGTGTTACAGCATGTAGCACCATGTACGTGCTGTAGTCAGTACATTCTCATGGGAAGCCATTTCAAGGTCATCGCCTGTCACTCACCTGCTTTCTCTTTGATCAACTTCTTACACTCATCAATTGTCAAGTAAGGGAACATTTCTTTGCATTCACGCATGGCTTGGTTAAAAACAGACAAAGTATTATAGTTATTGAAGATGTCTCCCAATCCTTGGCCGAGGCAGTAGTTAGGGAGAATAAGGAAAACCCATTTGAGAACATTAGCTGCGTCCCTCTCGCCCACTCCAGGTATTTCAAGAATAAACACTGCAACGAAAATCAAAAAGTAATAATTTACAAATTATGTATTACGTGTTGTTTTTTGCATTATTGTTATTGCATTTTGAAATTATTATCTTTATTCTTAATATTGTTATTTTGGTTATACGCTGAATTAAAATGTGGCGACCCAGCTATCGTTCTGGACTGATTAGCCTTTCTTAACTTTGTAATTTTGCACGTTCACGTAAAGGCGAGGCTAGTCAATCCAGAACAAATTGGTCGCCATATTTCAATTCGGTGTATAACCGTCTTCCTTGCTTCCTTGTTTTCTTGCTTCCTTGCTTCCTTGCTTTTCTTGCTTGTTTGCTTGCTTGCTTCTTTTCTACCTTGCTTCCTTGCTTTTCTTGCTTCCTTGCTCCCTTCCTCCCCTCCTTTATTCTTTACAACTAGCCAAATGTTATTACAAAAGTAATCATACCTGTCATCAAGGTTGCCAGTCCCGTCACAATATTAAATATCGTCAAGACAACGAACGCGTACACTGCCGTTGTGAAAACAAATGAGAACAAGTACATCAAAGGAATAATTGCCCAGCCGTAAATCATGAGCAGAAGAAAAGTGTAGCCAAGATTTGGACCTTAAAAAACAAATGAATAGACTCTGCATTAGTAATGTTTTACATGCAGTAATAACACACAAGAACTCGTGATTTTCTGTGACAAGATTTTTCTCTATAGGGGAATATAGAATGGATCGTGGGGAATCAGCTTGAAGAGATTTTTGAAGATAAACTACAAATGTGTGTGATTTTTGATTTTTTGCTTCTTTAAAAAAGTCATTAAATTTTGAAATTTGGAACGTCGAAAAATTTCAATGTCGGTTGACGTTTTACCGCATGAAAGGGCGAAATACTCAAAATATAATAATATATAATATATATGGCTTATATAGCAGTTATACAAGTCTGTTCTAAGAAACTGGAAATATCTCTAATTGGAGAAGGTAAAGAGTTCCAGAGGAGCGGAGCAGCAACTAAAATATGTGTGGTTCGTGAAAGAAAGCGCAAAACTCTTTTAGTAGATTATTATTATTTGTATTATATTTTTCTACAATTTGGGACCATACTTCCAGACATCGAGTGCTGAACTGTCGTATGGCAGCGCGAAGCATTTACGGCTACGCCGGAGATTTCGGCCCCGACACCGCTATCCGTAATGACTAATCAGGAAGCTCGGCCGAAGCCTAAGGGAGAGGTTAGTCGGCCCCTAGACCGTAGATGATTAAACCCTTGCTATGACCAGCCAGTTGCAAAAAAAAAATTCCTATCGACTAAAGTCGTATAGTAGAGTTGCTCAATGTGGGATTGGTTTCGAAACTTAGTTAGACATACGGGTAGTTCTAGACATGCGCAGGAGTGGTATTGAAACAAAGTGCCGACTGATCTATATCTAAGAATAAGAATCGAGGTTTCAAGACAATAAATTTTATATTTGAATATTTCCCACTATTAACGGTACAATAAGCTTCTTATAGAAGATAATATACGATGGAATGATATTTAATTTTTGTAACTGAACCTAAATCTGGATCTAAGACAAAGTGTTCGCTGACTGACTAATGAAACATTAATTTTATCGAACCCTGAAACAACCTCTGGGCTGATCTAAGTCAGGGCAAGGCAAACTCACAGATCTAACCCTGAAACAACCTCTGGGCTGATCTAAGTCAGGGCATGGCTAACTCACAGAT